GTTTTTTAGCTGCCCCTTGTGATGTTTTACCCGTGATGGTTAGTTTGATTCTTTTTCTGGACAGCCCCCATGCTTTCCTGCTTATCCCTTTCTCAGATTTGTAACTTGCTTATCTATCTTGGGAGAATTACCTTCTTTGTAAAGACAGGAAAATCTCTGTATATACATATATAAAGGGGACTTAATCTTCAGTTCTTCTTGATATCACGAAACCTTCAGTCACTTCTTCTATGGCAGTTGCCATTGCTGACTTTTTCATCCCAGAGGCTGCCTTTGCTGACTTTTCATCCCTGCTGACTTCCGCTATTGCTGACTTTTATCCCAGAGGCTGCCATGTGGGATTGTTCCCTCTTCTGGTCTGGACTCCCTCTTCCTATTTATGTTGGGCCTGTGAGGCCCAACTCAACTTTGTTTGTTCTGATGGGTCTTGGGCTGGATGTGTCAATTTTTGGCCCAAACAGTACTTACCAAACATAAAAATACAATTTCATACCATTTTTCAAACTTTTAAACCTTGAACCGATGTGTAACTCAAAATTATAATATTGAACAATATATATGATGAAGACTTCTTGTTGAAGTTGGAAACTTCCCTGCATCTACCTTGGAAGGGCACATTACAGATATCAAGATAAGACTCAAATTGGAGAATCTGTACCCCATATAAGATCACAAATATTAATACTCTCACATCACAAAGTATAAGCACCAAAACAGCAGAGGGCCACATCAAACCACAACAGCCTTATTAACTCCATCATACCCGAACCACCCTACATACAAAATCAATAAAACCCAAACCATAAAAGGAGAATTGTATTAAGGGAATGGTCTGGCCCAATATAAGAGCTATAAACTTGAGCCCAAACCCAGGAGAAGTACCTCATTATCTGAGACTGAAAGTTGGCCTTGTCCACATAAGATTTATGAAAAATATAGCAACGCAGTTCAAATTCCTATCCACAGATTATCTGCAACAACAGAATTTGCACTTGTCTACCATCAACAGCCAATCAAATAATGCTTCCTATCAAAATTCCCACCATTACTTTCTCCAACCAGCACAGAACACAAACAAAAACAACAACAACAAAACTAAAAAAACAATTGTTTCTGGGTTTTACTTTAGAGAAGAGAGAAACACAAGGCTCCTCCTACTTGGCACAATTGGCCTAGTCAGTGCCACACTCTCATTCAATGGTGGGTGCGTTCTCAGCCCAAACCCAAGGTCTCAAGCCAACAACACCACCAGCAACCACTGCTCTGTTCAACCCATCTCTCTCATCATCATCTGAATTGCTTTCAACTTCTCATCTATCACTCTTAAAGGTGCTACTCAGTTTTACACTCATTTTCATTTTCTGTACTTTTGGTGATGGGGTTTTGCTTTTTAGCTTATTTCTTACTTTTGGATTTTTTTTTTTTTTTCTAGAACTCCACTTCAATTGCCTGTGGATTTTCTTCAAAGCAAGCTTCTTTTCTCAGAGGTCAATTCTGTAGCAGACACTTTCTTGGGTTTGATTACAATCTTGCTCGAAGAAAACAAGCAGGTATCTATGAGAATTTATCAATTTCTATTCTTGTCTTGTTTATGAGGCAATTACCCCTCCCTTCCACCCTTATAATTTGAATCAAAATGTAATTTAGCTTCTAAAGTTTCAATTTGATCAATGTATATATTAACTATTCATGTTTTCGCTACAGTTAGTCTATTCATTAAACATTGTTTTAATCAATGGGGAAGGGAGATTTGAACTTCGGAGATCTTCCAACATTGGAAAGAGAAATACCAATAGACTAAGAGCTAGTTTGTTGTTCTATTCATTATACCTACTATAAAACAATTGTTTGCCCACATCCTAACAACTTCAACTTTTGAGAATAGTGGTAAATGAACAAAATTAATCACATTATTTGGTAACATAGTAGGAGATCCTGAGTTAAACTTGCTATTACATCCTTAGAATTAAGTCAAATTCCATGTGTTGGTTCTAACGGTGAAGAGAAACTTACATGTGAGGGAGAGTTTAAAATAAAAAAATAATTATGTGTGCATCCTAATACCTTAAGGTTTTGGGATGGATATCGAATGATATCCACGTGGCCGCCGTTGATCCATTTTAAGTTTATGTGGCCACCATTTGAGCCATTTTTGAGGTAGAATTCAAATGAAACTTATTTCATGCTCAAAATATCCAACTAAGGTCGCATAAACTTAAATGGGTCAAATGGGGCCATGTCGGCTCAATGGTGGTCGCATGGAAAATGTGAAAACATTAGGATGCACTTTGACAAATTTAAATTTAGCTTAAATTATAGGAATGAATTTACCCTTATCAATTTAAATAATAATACAATGTTGCCAACTGGTGTGGTTTGTTTCCCTTTCATCTCATTAGGAATTCAAGATTCTTCAAAAACAATTGAAAGAGCACTATGTATCATTGCTTGAATCAGATAAGGCTTCTTTCATGGGAGTTACAAGATCAAAAATAACATTTAGGTTTTGACACTCTGTTCTCCACCTCATTTCTCGAACAAATAATGGTGCTTCAGTAAAGTCTTATAGCTGCATTTGATTCAAGCATTCAAAATCATGGGATTTAAATTTAGTATTTGTATATATTACCAGGAGGAACATTTAAGTTGCAAAATAAAATGATAGAGAATAAAGCTCTTGCTCTCATTTGGGAATTTGTTTGAAATGCCTTTTCCACTTGTTAATTTAAATCCTCCTCTGTTACATGTGCATGTATAGAAGTAGGTTGAATAAGCATTTATGTTGAATGTGTCTTTGGGACAGTTTAGAAGTTTTTGTAGGTGTGTCTTGTCAATGAAGTCTTCCTTTCATTTTGGGTTTGTTATTAGTAGTAATTATGAGTCATCAGCTGTTATGTCAGCGAGGCAACTGACAACGGCGCAGATGCAGGGCAGGGAAGTAAGGGTCTTTGTTTTTATTGTGATGAAAGCTACAGGCCTGGGCAAATGTCAAAGAAACTGTTCATGATTGCAGCATGCTTGGAGGGAGAGGACGGCGTTAAGTCTACATGGAACAAGAAAATGGGTCTCCAAATATAACCCTTGACAACAAGGGCAATGTTAAAAGGGAAGGAATTGTTCACACTATGTGATTGTGAATAGTTTCTTACAACGATGTCTGGCCTTGCATTTCTTCATCACAATTGAGACAACAATCCTTACTTCTCCTCTCCTGTATCTGTAATACTGTCATATGTCTCACTAGAAATTTTTCTGTGAACTTATTTGTTTGCCCATCAGATTTGATGCAAGTGATGGCATCCATCTCTTGTTCACATCTAATTAGGATCTAATTAAATGAGTTTATCGGATTGTGATTTTGATTTTACTTCTTTTGATTTCTTAACAATGCAGGGCATGTTGTTTCACCATACTGCGTCCTTCCGTTAACTGAAGAAAATGTTGAGAAAGTCTTGGATGAGGTACGACCTGGCTTGATGGCTGATGGTGGGAATGTGGCACTACATGAGATAGATGGCCTTGTTGTGGTATTAAAACTGCAAGGAGCTTGTGGGTCATGTCCAAGCTCAACAATGACACTAAAGATGGGAATTGAGACCCGCCTGCGAGATAAAATACCCGAGATTATGGAAGTTGAACAGATTCTGGACAGAGAGACAGGTCTTGAGCTAAATGAGGAAAATGTAGAAAAGGTTAGACAAATCATCATCTCCAACTAAGTAAAATTTATTTATTTATTTAATTTATACATCAGTTCTATGAAATTGTTTTACTTTGTAATGTCATAGTGCTGATATGTCTCAAGTAATTAGTCTGAAGTTAAATGATATCATTACTCTTTACCAATTTCCATGTCGAAATGAAATTATAGGAACACTTTAAGTGATAAATTGAGGTCTATTTTGTGCAAAGTGAAATTGATTATTTTTATGATCGAGGGAGGCACTGATCTCCAACTTCTGGTGAATAAGAAATATTGCAGAATGAATTATAAATCTCAAAAAACTCCATTTTGCTGCTACTATGGAGAAGAAAAAAAAACCCTCATCAACAGTTGCAACTATGCAAGTTACTGAACCAAGAATGGAACTTGGAAACTGCAGTGTAATTTTTACAGCTTATACAAATGTACTAGAAAATATTTGATTTTGGAATTCATCTGAACATCTTTTTCTTTTTTTTCTTTAATCTCTGTGTTTTCTCATTTAGTACTGTCTTAGTAACAACAGCTGGTGATTCTAAAAGCAACAATTTTTCGATCAACTTTGTACAATTCTCAGTTTCAATGAAGCCTTAGTGCCTCCTTACCCACAAACTAGCTAATCTAGTAGAGTAGAGAACATGTTGAAGAGTCTGACTTTGGTTATCTCCTTAACCCTTTTATTACTTATTTCATTATATGGCATGCAATCTCATTGCTACTTTAAATATCTATGTGACATAATAAATTCATTTCCAGTTAGGGGTTTCGATAAACTTTCTTCATTTCATGTCATTATGACAACCTCATACATAATGAGTGCTCAACTTAACTCGATGGAGCTACATTCTTTTCCAGGTTCTTTCTGAGATTAGACCATATCTTGCTGGCACAGGAGGTGGGATCCTGGAGCTTGTACAGATCAATGACTACGTCGTCAAAGTACGGTTAAGTGGACCAGCAGCCGGGGTCATGACAGTTCGTGTTGCTCTAACACAAAAACTGAGGGAAAAAATACCCGTTATTGCAGCTGTTCAGTTGATAGAATGATAATATACCATCAAAAGTAAATCTATTGTGAATGTATGATGCAGAGAATGGAAAAATTGTTCGGCCAGTTTTGTTGAATTATACTCATCAATGCCTGAAAATACATGGTTCCTCGTTACATTGCAAGCTTCTTTGTAACTTACACGAAAAACATTGCAAGTCTTAGATAACTTGTTTTCCACTTGTAGCGATTATGCCTCCCTTGCGTCCTGCTTTGATTAGCCAATTCCATTCATTGACTAATTATTTGATATTAAGTTAATTAATTAAAATAAAAAACACTCATGGTTAAACATAATTATTCGATTTCTTCCTTCTGTGCATTCGATTTCCCTCTTCCCTAATAGCGGTTGTATAAAAAAAATTCAAATATTAACTTTCTAATGTTTCGTCTCGTCTCGTCTCTCCCCTCCCTTCCATCCCCTGCTTACTTAACACCTCAACCAACTCCTGCTCGCTAAACATCTCAATACACCAGCTTCCGGAGAAGATTTTTTCCCGCACCACCAAAAACTAGTGTCCCCTACCCTCTCCGCTCTCTCTTTCTTTTACTCAAAGTGAAATGCTTAGATCATAAGTACATTATTTAATTGAATGTTTTTGTAGTGGAACTTTGCACAGTTATGTTACATTTGCACGATGCTATTCTACAATAATACAGGGTGGCTACTCAAAATGTCTTGTAGATACCAAAACAAAGCATATATTCTTCATTTAACCTCGTATATTCTTCAGTTGTCTGTTAATAGTAATCATCATCTTCTTCTTCGTCTCTTGATCCAGTGAATCTCCTTGCAACAGCAGCAACAGCACCAAGAAACGCAAAGAAAAATAAGAGTTGGAAGCCACCACCAATGCTGACGGCAACACTAGGACCTGGGGCGAAAAATGAAAATGGTGACCAACCCCAGCCTCCAAAGAATGGTACTCCGTAACCGTATCCATAACCACCAACTAAAGGCGGGGCTACCGGAGGATTGATATAAATATTGGTCCTACAATAGAAACACAGATTAACATCCTTTAGAAATAAACTTAAAGCACATTACACAGGGCTGTCATCAATCTAACAATAGTTCCATAGAAGACAAGTCATTTATGAGAAGTATATAAAATAAAATAAAAATTCATATGTGAGAAAACAAGTCTTCTTAAGGATACACACATTGAGTGCTCATACATTCGTCCACAACTCATGAGAGGGTCCTGTAAGCTTGGTATACATTATTGTCGTATTCTCTAATGGATCTATTGGTTCTCTAACATGGTATCGAAGCCTTGTTTACAACAGGTACTAGGTTCATGGTTGTCTTACAGGCAAGTGGCAGATCTAGGATTTTTACCCCAAGGAACGTGTAAAAATTACCACAAATAAAATTCGACGAAAAATACCTTGAAAAAGTCAAACAATACACTATCATTCAAAATTCATAGTAAAAAGATTTGTTCATTTGGGAAAAAAAAGAAAAACAACTGAACTAGAAAAGATTAAGAGCAGGCCCTTCTGATACAGGGATACTTCAGTCCAGCAGTTAAAAGTTGTCTGAATGAAGCAACGAAGCGATCGAGAAAAAGAACTTGTTTCCTAATTGATCTATAGCTTAAGGTCACTAGAATTTGAAACTTCTATATATGCCTTTGAAAAAGAACAATATAAAACAAAGTACCAATACATAAATCAACTTATGAATACAAAACTAGCTATTATAAAATTAGCACACATGTTTTCTGGGGCAGACATTTCCAGCTGAAAAACAAAAGAAGCAAATTTGTTCAACAGCAGGAAGTAACCTTTTATCCCAAACCAACAATCCATTTCAATTATTGAATTGAAACAAGCCATTTCAATTATTGAATTGAAACAAGCCATTTCAATTATTGAATTGAAACAAGCGAATTGAAACAAGCTGAAACAAGCCATTTCAATTATTGAATTGAAACAAGCAAATTCAAGCTTCTTAATACCTTGAATTATTGTTGATCCTAGGGGATGAAGACCGAGGAGGAGCCGAAGGCCGGAAGGCCTGGCCCCCAACTCTACCACCAGTCTTGGCAGCTGATGCATCGTGAACTGGGCCCAATGTCAACAACCCAGCTGCCAGTGTCACCATTGCCAACTTCGCCAATTTGTTCTCATTCTTTCTAAGCAATCCATCATCGCTATATTAAACAAAAGGGTATCCCAGAAACCAGTCACCACAAAAAGAATCACGCTTCAAAAAGAAAAAAACCAGTTCAAGAAACCAACCTATTAGATTAGTACCTGGAACAGCCTTTGTGGTCATCTGTTGATGAGTAGCTTCTTTTGCATGAGATGGTAGTGTTAGCAGCAGAAGTGAGAATCTTGGTTTTGGGTTTGTGGGTTGGTGGTGTGAGAGCGTTGGCAAGAAAGCTCTGTTGGGATGAGGCCACTGAAGCTGCCATTCTTACTTCTTAATGAGTTTTGTGTTGATCTTTTCTCTAGTTGCCGCAAGACATGATGACACAAAAGCTTTTTCAGAATCATTTATGATTCTGAGGTTCCCACGTGTCGTGATATAAATCGTTGATACCACAAGTAATGTTAGATTTCTCACTAAATATGTTTTGGGCCTTCACCTACTGTATGTCAACTTAAGATTATAACCCATTCTGACACAAAAACATAAGAAAATAAATAATAAGATGAGAACGTTGATGATACTACTAAAATCTCAAGCCAACCCAAGATTCTGTCCACCCACAAACCACTTGAAAGTTGAAGGCCCATTGATAGATGCGGTTCTCACCTGATTTGGCATTGCCCACCAAATTGGAGATGAGTGATTCCCAATCTAATGGCCCGCGACATTGTCGACATCAAAATAGAGAGTTCGAGTACCATTTGAGTAAATAATTTAGAAGTACAATTATTGATGGAGGAGAAAGAGTGAAAGAAAGTGGTAGTAGTTATGGGAGAGCAAAAGAGATTGGTGGAAATTATTGATGAGAAAGAGAGTGATGAGGAAATTGTGGAAATACTTATATTTTATCAAACTAAATTCTAATAACTTGTGTACCCTTATTATGTGTGTTTAATAAGGGAAAATTGATAAAATATGGATATAGGAACCTCCTCACGGCCTAGGTTCTTTCACTACCTCGGGGTCAAGGCTTTATGTGAGCGACCAAATGATGTGGAGTGGGTAGAGATGAAGATTGAAGATGAAGCGTAATGAAACGAAGAACAAGTGCGAAAAGTAAAGGTGCTTAAACTTAAATATAATTTAAAGACAAATGCGTAAAGTAAAGTGTGAAAGATAAATAACGTAAAGACGAGAACTAAAGTGCGATAAAATGAATCAAAGCGATAAATAAAGCAAGAACGAAATGAAAGCGATAAGAACGATATAATAAAATGAACTTGAAATTAAACTTAATTAAAGTGAGATAACAGTGAAAAGTAAAGCAATTGAAATAAACTTGAATTTAAATGACAAGAAAATATAAATTGAACGAGAATTTAAACTTACACTAAGAAAATGAAGAACTCGCTACATTAGGTGCATGAAAAAAGACGAAACCCTAAGGAATTCTCTCTAAAAAAAGCCTTAGGAACTTAGCTCCAACCACCGCCCCTCTTTGGGTTTGGTGGTCTTCTTCCCTACCCCTCTCATCCCCTACCCTTCCCTCCCCTTTTCCTCCCTCTCTTTCTCTACCCTTTCCTCCCCTCCCCTTTCGCCCTTCCTCTCCTCCGTGTCCCTCCACTCTCTTCCATGTCCCTCCCCCTCTCTCTCAGGGTTGTTTACCAGCTTTTTGGCTGGATTTTTGCTTGGTTGCGCTGGTGATTTTGTTGCCGGCTCTTGTGGTATACTATCCTTGGAATCTTTCGTGCGTTGGGTGTTTACAGTTTCTTGAGTCGTAATAATTGCACCAACTCTTTGTGAGTTGAGTGTTTGTTTGTTGTGTAGTCTCTACTTCTAGTTTCCACTTTTGAGAGTTTAAAAGTTGTAGCTTGGGACTTTTATACCAAAATTTCTTTGGCCTTGTGGCTATTATTGGAGATACAGTTTGTGCGCTTGATGTTGCTGGTGTGTTCCTATTTATCTGGATTAATTCTGTGTGGTTACTATGCTTCCATCTATATGGATTATCCCTTTATGGGTATTTGCACTCGCCCTTATGATGGTTTATGGTCTTTGTGTCTAATTTATAAATACAATTATCGCTTTCCTCTTAAAAACAGGTTTGAAAAACTTATTCTCTTAAATAATAATACCAATAGATGATAAATGGGCTTTCAACATATAATAATTATAGGAAAACATGTACAACATTTTTTTCTTTTCTCATAAATAGGCCAATGTGTAATTGGTGGCACCTTTCTAGGTGTTTGGTCCACAAATCCAAGCCCAGTGCTCAATATTTCTCGAGCCTCTACATCTACAGGTTGTGCATTACTCACATTTCATTAAATATAGGTCATTGAAATAATCTAACCATCACAAAGGTTATTGGCAATAGATAATACTTAGGGGAGTGTATTCACTTAAGATTTTAAAAGATGTTAAAGAAGTTTAAAAGTCCAGGAGTATTCAATCATGACTTTATAGAAGTCTATAAAATTATGGGTGTATTCAATCCAGACTCTTTAAAATCCATTCAAATATGAATGTATTCAATCATGACTTTAAAAGACTCTGTAAAAGTTTGAGTGTATTAAAAAAAATCGTTGACTTTAAAGGAAATACCAAAACTAGTGGATTTTGATTGATCATAGACTAATTCTAGGCCATCACAAATCTTTGCTTCCCCTTAGAGATTTTGATAGATATATTGGTTCTTCTCAAGATATGATTTCGCCACCTCTACTACCACCATCTTGTCATGACTTTACCACCACCACTTCTTCCACCATGTTACCACCACCACCACCTTGCCATGGTCATTACCATCACCACAACCACCCCTAGCATCACTAATAGGTTCATAAATATATTCATTTAGTCACCATTCTTACTTAGTTTTTGTAGGAGAATTTTCTTTAAAGAAGACTTACCAATTTATTTTTTCAGCTTTCTGGAGCGCTTAATCGGTTTTCAGTGGAAATATGACTTTTTGGTGGAATTTATGTGCAAGGCCAATTGGAGAGTGAAGCTAAATATGCCTCTGTAATTTTTCTAGAATTTTTGGAGCAGCCAATTAGA